TCTTCTTATTCTAGGCGTGTAACTGCACGCTTTGATTTTTGTTGACAACAACTATGCGTCGCTTAACATACATCACGCACTCCGTTGCTCTTATTGGTTGTAGGTCTATCCAATTGAGTGCAGAGGCATTTTTTTTCCTGATTCGTTGGAAACACGCCCCATAATCACAGCCCTATGGAGCTGCATCAGACTCATATTCTGACTAGAATTGAGTAGGACTACGTCAGGCTAACAAAAGGTCCCTTGCCCTGGTTGGTGGGATCTGTGGCAATGTCCTGAAACCGATGGCTTGTCCATTTATGACCCCGCTCTAACCGTCTCCACCTCGCCTGCTGTGGCTACAATCTAGCTCACCACTGTAGTCATTTTTGCACGACTGATTGTAGCATCACACACAGAAGTCCTTGGTTATTGGTAAAGCACTATACAAAAACAGCACTTTTACCACCTTCTGGAGACGTGCAGCAGAAACTAAGTTCAGATCCGTTAAGCGGTATCCCACAATGCCCTGTGTTGTCCTCACCACCCGGGATAAGTCTTTCCTTCAGAATCGGATCTTTGCCAGCTGCCAGAAATCTCAATTTACTAGGCTCAAATTAGAGGCCCGTAGTTGAACTTGGCTTTCAACAACAAAAAGTTCAGAAAAAAAAAACTTTTATAGCCATGACTCCTGTGATGCCTTGACCTCCGCCCCTTTTTTGTGGCAGATTTGTAGGACATGCTAGAACAGAAAAACAATCAACAAGATGTTTTGGAATAAAAAGCTGAACTTGACAGTGTTTGGATCTCATTGTGACATTAAACAAGTTGCTACAAGACACTTTGCAATCACACCAAATAAAGGAGATAATAACCCCAACGCCGAGCCAAACAGGCTCAGAAGGAGTGGCTGCTTTTACTTTCTTCTGGCTTCCTCTGAGGCCAACCACCTATGTTATGCGTCTCAAACTACACCAGGCATTATCTTCTATTTTAGATGCACCCAGACCGCTTGCAATCAGAGGCTTGCGAATACTCTACATGTGCCACCGTTAGTGCAGTTTACCAGTCCGAGGCACGTTTGCTTGCTGGACTATAAACAGCAACAAGGACAGTCTGAAACGTCTTCATTTGGGTTTTTCTTTCTTTCTTTCATTCTTTTTTTTTTTGTGGCCCTGACAAAACGGAGCCTGGGAAACCGAATCACTGAGTCTCCATTTCACAGAGACGAGAAACCACAGGCAACGCAAACTGTTCCCCACAGACTGTTAACAATGCAAACTCCTCTGTTCCGCCTCCTCCTCCTCATCTGTCTAGATCTGTTGCAGAACCAACGGGGACATGTCCCTTGGCTCCTTTGTAGCCTCGATTAAAGGCATTCCTTTTGAGCTCCATCAAAGACTACACCAAAAATATTCAGATGCAAAAAAATAACAGTCTGAAAAACAACTACATGAACAGAAAAAGGAATCAAATAAATAGTAGCTGCAGAAAGGAGTCAGTAATATCTTTTCCACTTGACTTAGCCTTACAGATCTTCTTTTTTCATATGCCAATAAACAGTGAGGACGCTTTTTAGTTCATCTACTGCCAGCAGGGAACCAAGCCCAGGCACTTGTGTCAGTGGGAGCTGTATAAGGAGGGTGTCTGAACGTCTCATCAACTCTGCCACTCAGTTAGCAGCTTTTCAAGTCACAGCTCCTTTGACATTCTAATGCTACCTCAAAATGAAGTCTTTTTTTTATTATTATTCAGAAAAAAATGAGTCTCAATTGGTATGAAAGTGGTGAAAGGACACTCAGATGGAGCTCTGCCTAGGGGATGGAAAGT